CTATCTAAAGGTTATATATTGCCTTTCCTCAAGACTGTGTCCTCCTAATGCCTTATAACTTGGATTCAGCTATTAGCAATGTTCATTAATTCCTCTTGAAAATGCTGTGAACTTTCCAGGTTGAAAAAGTGCTTCATAAAAAAACAAGTTTAGTTTTGTACTAGTTTCGATTCTCTTGAGAAAACCAAACCAAGAGATGTCACAATTGTGATGTGTAAATTATTCAATTCCAAATTATTTTAGAATTATCTATAAGCTATTTGAGAGTGTCGAACAGGAGCTGTAGGAGGATAACTTAATTAAAAATAATGTCAGAAGTGCTTTTTGTTCTTTTTACGGTAAGTAAACAGGTGATGGATTTGTAATTAAGTATGTGATGTCTAAATGGTAAATGCATTTGTGCAGAAATTGGTTAACTATAGAATTTAGGGGCTGGTAAAATGTTTGTGATAATGCAAAGATTCTAGTTTATGTTAGAGGGATTTTACTCGAACCTCTTAACAATCTACAGCAGCTAAGTATAATTACTTATTTATTTACATAATTGAGAGATGATGCTTCATATCATATGTTGCTACCTCCTGTCTACTACCTAAAGCCAGTAGTCTRGCTTTAATCTTATTCCACTTTAGAAAGACGAACCCTTTTAAGCTGTTGTTTGATAGTCTACTGAGCTGCCTTTTATTTACCTTAAAAAAAAAAAAATTGGCCAAACTTTGAGGGGGGCGGAGGGAGTAGGACTCCTACCATACTATGTTGAATAATCTGTCCCATATTTTGGCATGTGTCTGGTGTTTGACCACAGCAAGGCCTGTAATTGCCCAAAATATATTCTGCATAGATTGATATTAAAAAATGCATAAGGTACTTGCATAATCATTTATTTTTAGAAATACATCTAATTAATGCATTTTGCAAATGCTTTTACTTTCCCACTACTGCATTTTTCAGCCTGATTTCRTTAAAGCAGAATACTTATTCATGTGCTACTTTCCCCAATTTTGGCTTAATTGTTTCCAGTCTGTACAGCCCGGCTGTCTGGAGATGTTTATTACGGAGCAAATGTATTCTGGAAGGAGAGAGCCTGGCTAAACTGCTGGAAAGAAAAATTCTACAATCTGACCTTATCAAGACAAGATCCAGAAGGTTCTTATTTTTCATTTTGACTGGGGACTGTTAGCAAGCGAAAAAAACAACCCGAAGAAGTTAACTAAAGTCTATCACTGCATTCATTGGAGAGAAAAAAAGAGGGGGAAAAAAAAAAAGGAAGAAAAAAAAGAAAAAGGCATTGTCAAATGTTTATAATGCATTCTGCAGAACTAAAGAAAAAAAGTGTTACATATTCTGTAATGACACAAAGCTATTTTCTTCTGGCTTCAGAAAATACAATTCTATTCTGCACAACTGCATTTGATATTTAGGGAACCTTTTAATCTGCTCTAAGTATATGATAACACAGAAGGAGAGCAGAGCATCCGAGTATTCAATAATATATTTTGAGTGATCTTTAGCAACTCTCCTGAGCATTTATGCCTTGCTGGAGGGAAATGCACTTTTGAAAGATCATGTGCAGTCCCTATGGAGACCCATGACCTTCCTCGGAGCAATTCAGAGCAGACTGATAGGTCTGATGGCGGCAGAGCGAGGCAGGCAGGTTCAAGCGCTCTGGAAGTGCCTGCGGGAATACTAATGGGGTGCTGGGTCAGAAATGGGTTATCCGAGGAGGATAAATATTGGTAGGGAGTCGGGCGCTGGCAAAGCCTCATGGAGACTTTGGATGCTTTGTGGCCTCATTTGTTCCATGATCAGTTTATTAGCGAATCAAAGAAAGATTAAATCYTGAGCCCAGGGATGGCTCATCAGCTCAAAACTGAGGATGGAGGGATAGGCAGGAGAGCACGGATGCCGAGGGACTCGGGAATATGCATCAATTCTCCTGCAAAGTTAACCATCCCTACCTGCCATCCAATGTGAATTTACTCACTTTACTAATAAAGAGCAAGGTTTGCCCTGCTATGTTGTTCCCATCCAGGCCAGGGGAAAGGGAGAGGGGGAGGCCGACTCCAAACACCCCAACTTGGTCTTTGCAGATTTCTGCAGATACAGTAACTTGCTGACGGGCGTCTCTGCTCCTCAGCGAGAGCCTTGCAGGGATTTCGGCAGCCTTGCAACAAGTTGCTGTCTGAGCTTGCTCTGCTAAACCCCCTCTGGCAGAAACCTGGGGAAGGAGTTTCCTATTACAAAGTACAGCCAAATAAAGCCCCTTCCCCAGGCACCACCTCCTTGCTCTTCAGTGCTATCTTGCTGTGTCCTCTTCTTCATGACAAAACCCACAGCTCACTCTGTTATTTCCTGAGCTGCCKCTTCCTTCCTCCCCTCCACGAGTCTTCCCTCCTGTGGCAACTGCTGCAGGAGCTAGAAAACAAAAATKAAAGTGTGACAAACATTCACTTTTATGGAGCTGCAAATAAGGGGCGAAGGAGGAGGGAAAACTCCCTGCTGCAGCTGGTCTAGCTCAGTTAAATTGATGTCTGCAGCTAGGAGGTGCTCTGCGATGGTATTACGTGTGCCATTAAAGACATGATACACAGGTATTATTTAAAAAAGGAAAGCTCTTGTATGCCAGAGAGGGTATTAGCAGGTCTGCAGTTATTAACATAGCCATTCTGTAGTTGATTTCKGACTTCTCTTTGCTCCGAAGCTCTTTGACCAGAGGCAGGGAATGTGCTGCAAGCAGGTGTAGGCCTCTGCAGGTGTCCTGGCACAGCTGGTACCTGGGCAAGGGAAGGTCTGCAGACCAAGGAGTGGCAGAGGTGGGAATATCCATCATGCAAACACGCCAATCTATCACTTGATACAGGGCATTAAATGGATTGAGAAACTAGTCTGAACCTGGCTCCACATCAGCAGCAGAACCCAATCAGAGCAGCACAGAGACAAAATACATCCACTCCCAAAACCTTCAAGTAAGTGGGCCTTCGTCTGGGGCTTTGTCCCTGCTAAGACCTGCATTTTATGGTTAAAGAGACTCTTTCATTGTTTCCCAAATCTCTTTACCCTCAGGACAGGAAGGGCACATTAGGACAGTAATGTCAAAGCAAAGTTTGCTGACCTCATGGCCCGTGTGTCCTTGCACCCCAGCTGGCATGGGATGGATGGTGTACTTGGTGTACTTGGTTGCTTACTTTCATCATCTGCTTGGAGAAGAAAATACGCTTTTTGCCAAGGTGATGAACAATTTCAGTGTGAGTTTATCTGATATAGATCCCATGATTTACCTCTGTGAGGGAGCACAGTTGCCGTTACCAGGCCTTGGATGGATCAGGAGACAAAGAGCATGAGGAGACTAAGGAATTAAGAAGAGAGAAGAGATGAAGCTGTGTCCTAGCCTGCTCACAACCTCATCTTGCAGTACTTGGTTCAGTGCCGTTTAGCACCTCAGGTTGATTTTGGAAAGCAGCTCACATGAGAAATGTGCTTTCCTCCATGGCCTCTTAGCCCTTGCTTCCCCAGGCTTTCCTCGTGCAACCCAGAGTTACCCAGGTGTGCCAAGCTCTTCTTCCCACAAAACTGCAAACCTTTATTATCTTATTTTTAATTACTATTTATTTAATTTTCTTATTTCTTTGCTGAATTTTCACTGCTTGCTGAAGTATGTGTGTTTTGGGTTYCTTTTCTGTTTGTTTTTCCTAACAATTTGGTGGCTACATAGAGACAACAACAAAAAAAAAGGAAATTATTTTTATTGTGTTCAGTGGCTGTGCTGTTTGTTTAGGAATGGATCTTGAGCAGAGGTGCATGGAGGGGACAGAGCAGACAACAAATGCATGGGTGGTATGAGATAATATTTATGGGACAGTGAAGGGCAATATAGCCTCTGTTTTTCTCTAATTTCCACTCTAATACTTCTATTTTCCACATTGCTAAGTCCACACCTCATATAAAATCCAATTGCTACATCTGCTGTGTGGTCTGCTCTTGTTGCTAACATTGCTGACTGCTAGCTGTTATATTACTGATCCATTTCTTCTCTTTTTCTCCCAATTTTTTTATATTTTTTTTCCCTCTAATGTGTCTAGCCTTGCTGCTGTGCCTAATTCCCACCCTCTTATTAATAACCAGTGGGAGCTATGTACTTTGGGGGACCTACTTGGCTGTGCTGGTCCTGAGGAAGCTGTGGTCCCAGTGTATCTATAGAACTGGTCCCAGTGTATCTGTAGGTGCTTCCACCCATTCATGCCAAGCTTGAAGAGCTGGATTCAGAACCGCTTTTGTTATAGCTGACTCTTGTGCCTCTGCAGGAGAAAGATGCCCTCTAGAATTAATTAGAGCATTTAATTAGTTAGCAGTGCCAACGAAAAAAWAAATAAATAAAAATGTGGCTTTTGGTTAACAAGGGTCACAAGTTGATCAGCTGCACGGGTCAGAGTCTGCAAGCAGCAGCACGTGACAGCGGCCGGTCCTTGGGTGTTTGCACAAGGGTTTCCTCCTCCGCAGCAGCCGCCAACTGGAGGGGACACAGGAGCTTTACATGCAAAAATTCCTTTTCGCACTGAACCGCCTCTTGATGTTAAGGTCAACATGTGCCARGTTACCCTCAGTGATTGTGAGTGGGCAATTTCTTTATTTCATTTTTTTAAAGAACTTCTGCAAAATGTTTTTCATAAAAGAATTTTACTGCCCAAAAGCAGAGGAGGAGAATCAGCCCTTACGCTATGTGCAATTCTGTAGTTTTTACGATTTTGCTAAGTGTTTTTGAGCGCCACAGCACTGCTGGTGCACGCAGTGGGTGGGTTTTGCCTGCCCAGCCCTATGCCGAGGGTGTGYGTGTCCATATGTGCCGACACCCCCGCTGCCCTCCAAAGGGTTCATCTGAGCCAGCACCTGGACGTGCCAAAGGTCTGTGGGCTGAGCAGCATTTAGCAACCTGTTAAACAGCCATTGGAAGGCAGAAAGGGCAGGACCAGTTATTTTCATGCCAAACTTCTTTTTTTTTTTCTTTTTTTCTGAAGATACTGATACAGCTTTTAAGCAGAGAGCCACTGTGTCCCCGTGTCAGCACAGTGTTGGGTAGAAGATTTTACACTGTGAGTAAAATCTTGTGYTATTTAAGGAAAATGCTTGAAAGGGGGTGAGAGGCATTTACAGTAGTTTTTCTTTAAATGAAGACATCGTGATACAATTCAAGGCAGACAGCAGATCTGCAAAAGCATCATGGACTAAAAATAGTTTAGATAATCATTCTTATAATTAAACCTAATGGACCTTCCTGTGTAAGTTTGATAAGATGGCTTGTTAATATTTGCACATATTTTTTTTTCTATTTCGTCAGTCAATTATGCATAAAGGACAAAACAGGAGTAACTGTCCAGGCATTAGTGTCACTTGTGTGTGGATAGTTCTCATTTGCTGTTCTTTTAGGTTTTAAAGTAGGAGGCAAAACRTTCAGGCTGATATGTGGTTTGATACATATATATTAATATATAGTCTATACATTTTTTATAGTTAAGTATAAAAATACCTGKTTCCCAGCCTGTTCAATTCTGGTTGCATGTGTTTCTCTTAGAAATGAGAGGAAGGAAAGAGGGAGCAGGTGAGAGGATGGTGACGGTGGGCCCAGAGCAATTGAAAGAAGAGGGGAGCAGTAGCAGAAAGTCAATATGCAGAARAGAAAAGTAGTGCTGGGACAGGACAAGCAGTGAAGATGTCACAGGGTAAAGAAAGCATTGGGGGTAAGAAAGTGAGGTGCGTGGTGGGGGATGCTGACTTCGTGACAACTGTGTCAGGAAATTTCAGGGAAATGGAGAAAATGACTGAATATTTTTTTTTAATCTTCAGAGGAGGAGGTGGAGGCAAGGTGTTCCTCTTAAAATGTTGATTACTACTCTGTGCTGTATGGAAAAGAAATATGATAAGAAACCCATGTTTATCAGGGTTGGAAGAACACTTGGGGTTGATAGGACTGAATTTTAATTTGAAGAGGACACAGAATATGTCTTAGAAGTTAAATGAGGATAATTGGGTGAAATGAAGTTGTTCTGTTCTCATACAGATATTTTTTCTCTGCATGTGGAAATTAACAAATGACTCATAAATTACAGTGGAATAATTCCATGAGGCTTCATTCGGTAGCAATTAGGAAAATGCCATGTCAGCCAAAAAGGTTAAAAAAATACATTTTTTTTTTTTTTTGTTCGAATGAAGCCTAATTCCAATTCTATGGACAAAAGCAATTTTTTTATTCTGGCCTCAAAAATGGATCCTTGGGATTTCATYCCTCAGTAGGACTTTGATTGATTTTGTTTTAGTAGTTTTATCTTATTTCATAATGTTTGTATTAAATCAGATACCTCTGAGCACTTAATCATTTTTAGCTTCTAGATCTTTGTATTTAATATTATATTTGCTGTCAAAATGTAATATAAATAAGAGTCATAATAAAGGAAAGTCATTGATCAGGTGGAGCAAAATGCAGCAATGACAAGGAACCAAGAGCCAGATGCAGAAATCTGGATATAATAAAGGGACACCTACTGACTTCCATGGGTTTTGGGTCAGGCCTCAAATGGAAACAAAACCCATCTCTGCTTGCCAGGCAGGTCAGCTGATGACCTGGAATATGATAGTCATTAATCCAGTGTAATAACTCTGTCCTTACTGAAAAATGGGGAATAGTAAGTCAAATGGTAGGATGCTGCGCTCTGTTCAGAGGATGTAAAATGAAGAACTCACGGTGCAAATGAGAAGGACCTGGTCTGCACCAACGCATCCTTCAAGCACCTTCTGTTCATAAATTGCAAAGATATTAGCTGCAAAGATAACTGCCTGCGTTGGCCTTGGGGCTAACTAGATGGTCTGTAAGAGGGTGCTGGCCCTTCCTTGAAGGTTGTAACTGGTGAGGGACGTGGGGGACAGCAGTGTTGATACTGCAGAACCTGCATTGTATGGACCAGGCATCTGGGGTAGCGTGTGGAGTTCGAGGGCAGCTGATGACTGGGGAAACATGGTTGCAAAGCCTTTCTCGAGGAATATTTCCATCGTTTATATTAAATAGTCATTATATAAAATGCGGGAACAGAATGCTTGACATGCCTTCATATTGCCTCTGGGATGGGGCCTTCTGTGCAAGTGTTGTGGAAAGGGAGAGGAATCAAATGGAAATGAGAGAGGGTAGTGACTTCCAGGTACTGATTCCAAGATAACTGGTATCCCTGAGCTTATTTTCAAGTAAAACCATGGAGTCCTTAGGATGCGCAAAGTGGATAATAATTCTGCAAGGTGACACAGATTTCATTTAAAAGAGAGTAAGGAGAGAGTGTTATTGTTGTGTATAGTGACTATGGACCTGGTTTGCTTCTCTAGATTCCCTGTTGGTGGAAAAGGGAGATCTTGGAACCAACTTCCTTGATGACTATCAGGTGGGTCCAGGTTGATACTCTTCTGGCCTGTGCAAGGGTGCTGAAAAAGTTACCACTATCCTGCAAGAACAGCTGGTAGAGGTGGAGTCTTTAGACCTACCTCTCAGCTGTGGAGGAGCCAAAAAGCTGTTCCTCTGGTAACTGGCAGCTTCATTATCATGGCAGGAAGGTGCATCAGAGGTGGCAGCCTCCCAGGAGGTAACTGGTAGGACACGCTCATTCCTCTTAGCTGAGCTAGTTCTTGGGTGTCATCCCATTTGTCTAATTGTAGCCACCTACCTCCTAGAGACCTTGGGGGAAAAAAATAAGCTAAACATCCAGGTGTTCAAATATCTACCTTTTCTTTGCCTTCTTCCTCTCCTTTTTGGAGAGGCAGTGAGGATGAGGGGGTGCGAATGGTTGACTCAAGGGCAATGAGGAACAGCCCACCTGGAGCCAGCAATGGAGCAGGACATCTCTAATGCCCCTGCAAGAAGGTGAACATCAGCTAAATGGGATATGCTGGCTAAAAGAGATCTTCTGGCATGGTTTTGTCGCTGGGTGGCAGAGGAGGAATTACTGCTTAGAGCTGGTGTGGGAGGGAGCACAGTGATCATCAACTAAATGTGAGCAGTTGGACTAGGTAGAAACTAGCATTATACTGGCCATTTGGCCAAAGTGTCTACAAGATTGTGTTAATTAGCACTGATAAGGCTTTGATATTTGGGGATTTGTACTTGAGCATTGGCTGTTGTTCTCCCTGTTATGTATAAATGAAACTCCTGTTTGTTCCAAGCCCTAGCAAACATCAACATTTGAGGTAGGGGAAAAAAGCAATCTACACTTAGGTATTTGACCCATTTGTTTTTATTTTTTATTATTGTGGTATTAATCTCTCAAAAATGCCTATAATTTGGAACACAACTGCATGGTGACTATTGTAACTTGTTCTCTACCTTAATCTCATCTCAGTTAAAAGGCAATGAATGTGTTCCTCAGCTGACTACAACCCGTGTAATCATCTGTTGTTCTCGCCACACAGCTTGTTTCAGAATAATCYCTAGTAAGCTATTGGTTTTAAGAAAACAATACTTTTTTAACAAGAAGTGTCTACTGAGTTGACTTCCTCCTCAGAAAAGAGGGAAAAGCATCTTCTCTTGTGACTATATATTTATTGTACTCTCATCTCTCACTGCTGTCCATTCCCTTGCACTTCTKTTTTTCTTGTATATACTTTATCTTAAATTGTATGGAATTGAGTAGTCAAATCATGGCAGCACCATTTATTTTTTTCCCTAAATTCAATTTTCATCTAAAGTACAGGGCATAAATTGTAATTTTTCTTTTCCAATGGATCTGTAAGGCCATCTGCACTTATGCTGTCTCGGACACAATGCTGTCTCCAAGCAGTACAGCTATAGAAATATTTCTTTTATAAAGATCAGTGAGCTTGTAGATTTTGCGCTTGCAGTTTGGGGTATTCCTTGGAAAATAGTCTGTCAACTTGACTTGGGCCTCTCCCCTTTCCCTGGACAARTGAAGCAAAAAAAGAAATACAGAAAGGTATTTGGTATGTGATGGGGCTAGAACAAAATATTATTTTAAGATCCTGGTCTTAAAAGCTGTGTTTATAACCCTGCCATCTGTATCCTCCTTGTTCTGCCCCTTGTACCAAGCACTTCCTCCTGCTTGGTAAGGAAAGAAAGACTTGAAAAGACTTGAAAGAAGCTTAAAAAGTGAACAGCCCTATATCTAGGGCAGGAAAAAACAGCAATATGTTCCCTTGGAAATACTTCAGTTGATCAGTTTTACCACTCTGTTCAAATACTTCCCTTTTTAAAAGATTTTTTTTATTTTGGGTTTTTTTTTTTTGAGTGATGCAGCTTTAGTGGCTGCCTATGGGTGGCTGGTGACTCTGCATATGGTAAAACCTCAACTTCTCGTGTCAAGGTGCCGTTGAATGACCCGAAAATGGATCCCTCTGCCGTGGTGTCGCCAGCAACAGTTCTGGAGCGGACAGCCTCGCGGCTTGGGTGCAGCCCGGCCGACGCGCGCCTCGCCGCTCACTTGGATGACGAAGACGAGTTGAAGCACTTCCGCACTTGTTTCCATATCCCCAAAGCCAAGGACCTGCCTCCAAGTGAGAATTATAATTGTGGGGAAGGTGGTTTGCGGGAGGTTTGCGTCTGCTGCATATGTTTATCACAAATCTTTGGAAATCACTGATTGGAAATATAGGCAAAAGCGTTTCTATATAATGGTTCAAAATTGCAGTGTTGCTAGAAACCTAGCCTGGAATGGTTGCGTCCTCAGTGTAATATAGTTTGGTATGATCTATCTAGTTACAATTATTTTAGTTAATGAAAGAGACGGCAGATATATTGCATTAAATTTTATGTCTTATTGCTAGGCGTAGAGAGGACTTTCTTCCTGAGGCCTAATGGAAGACCCTGTCTTAGAACAAATAAYTGAGCTGAGCAAATAATTCATAATGAAGCTGTTATTTGGAGATTCCCCCCACACACACTTCTCTCATAAATTGCCTATGAATAGATAACTCTGGCTTACATKTAACTGTGCAAAAATGACACTAGGAATTTTCTGCTTTGCTCCTGGTCTGTAGCTTGGTTTTTAAGGAGTGTGTGGCTGGCCTGGGTATGGGCACAGGGGGACTTCTGATCTAGGTATTGATCCTTTCCCTCTGCAAAATATTTTCATTTTCTGGTAGGTGTAGGAGTGACTTTCCATAGGTTTTTCTGGAAAGGGAAATGCTGACAGAACATTGGAAACTGCAGTTAAGGCGACTAAATTGTTTGAAGATCCCTCACAGAACAGTCACAACTGCTTAAATCCCTGGATACTTCTGGAAGTATCTTTACTTTGACTCCCTTCCCTCCTAGCAGTCATGAATGCTGGTACGTAGGACACCGAGATGGTAAATCCTATCCTGTCTTAGCCAGCAGTAACTGTGTGTGCACCTGTATGTGTATTTTCTTCCCCTTTTGATACCCTTGTGACTGTATCCATTGCATCCTTTCCACCCTCCATTATATTTTCAATTGCTGTAGTATTCAGAGCCAAAGGCTATGGATGTATGTTTTCTTCTTCAGAGACTATAATATATCCACAGCCCTTAAGGCTCTAAATATATGTTTTAGTGAAGATAAGCAACCCACATAATAGTACAGGTTGGACAGGGTAGAGAATACTCTATTCTTCCCAAATTGAGGGGCTTTTCTTTCCTTCTGCTTCTTTTTTCCCTTGCCTTTCTCTTCTTTACTTCAGCTGTCATCAGAAACAGCTTCCCCGCTGAAAAACAGCAGGGGTAAATACATATATATATTTAATATATATATATATATTTTTACATTGTGTATACTGTAGAGACTCGTCTCCCATGACATTTATCTTAGCACAGGAGCGGATCCTAGATAACGTGCTTCTGAAGATAAATGTCATTACAGAGATTAGCCATCAAATATTCTTTATATATTTACATAAAACATTACAATGAGGTTTTAAAGTGTAGCCTTACGCGAAGCAGATGCGAACATCCGTGGGAGACAAGTATAAGATTATGCACATAAAAATATATTTTAAAAATCATAATAGTTTGGCTATCAACTTACAAACTGTAACAGCTGCTTATAAACTTTATTTGTTGCATTAGTCAAGTGAAAGCCTTGAGCGGACTAATTCTGCAGCAGATTTTCCTGTGATGCCGTGGGTGCGTTTGAGGGATGAGCTCAGGTGAGCAAGGTGAAGGTTGGCAGTTCAAGACTTGGAGAAGTGTCCGTGTTGCCTCACTCAGAGCTGCCAATAAAGTGGTTTTAATGTTGTTTCTTTTTTGTGGGAGGTGTGAGTTGAAATTAAGAGTACCTGGATGGCAGCTGGTAGATGGGCTCCAAATCACCAARCTAAGGTTATGGCTTGTTTTTCTTTCTGTAGAGAAATAGGACATTTTCTGGGATTCTCTGCAACAAAGAAATGTCCCAGAGTGAAACCTAATAATCAACAGGTTATTAGGTTTGACTAGCTGGCATGAATTTGAGTAAATATGAAAGCCACTTAATTAATGTAAAATATTGTTTGTATTTTTTAATACTGGCTGCTTTAAAGGTACATGTCAAYMATTACCTTTTCTTACTATGTTGCAGCAGCCTTTACTTGGTCAGTTGTGCTTATTTCCTCCCGGTTGTGAATGTCTCAATATATGTTCTTTGTCACCTCTAACACCTCCAGAAATAGGAAGGACCAATGCTATGAGAAATGAGGGTAAAGTAATTTGTAGAGAGATGCAYGGTAGTTTAAGAATACTAATGCCTGGCTGTAAGGAATCTAACAAAGACAGCGGAAATGTTAGAGGATAACATGCTCATCTGGAGGAACTGTGAAATGATGAAAATGGCACCATGAAATGAGTGTAGTTTGAGAAGCAGCAGTGGTCCGGAATGAGTCTTTTAATGATGTCAGAGAGAAGGAAGTAAACAGCATTTGTGAAAAGAAAAAGTAATGTCCTCCCAATCCTCCTGCCCCTGAGAAAATATTCAAAGTAATAGATGTAAAACTAGAAAAACACATTTTATCAACGAGGTAATGCCGGCTCTCTACAGCAGTGACCCAATAGGTATTTTTATTTAGAGAGGACTGTGGGGGAAAATAAATAAATAAATAAATAAATAAAAACTAATTTGCTTATAAGTCTTTACCTGTTTTAATGCTTGATTGGAATTTAAAGAGTATTAGTGAGATTTAAAGCTCTGAATTCTTGAGCAAAGATCCTTCTCTGTATTCCTAATGTGGCAGTGTTATTGTCTGTCTTGATAGCAAAAGAATTGTTAATAGAACCAATTTAGGAGCATGGATAATATTTATACCTTTCTGTTTTCATTCATATTAAGAATAGAGATGAAAAACAGACATGGTATCTCTAAAACAGATTAAACTGAAATTGCTCTCTGACTTATGCTTCCTAAAAGCTCCCAAAGCTTTAATTAAGAAATTACCTAAGTTGTCTATACTTCTGAAAAATGTCTTTCTGGTGAAGTTCAATGAAGTTCGTAATTGTTAGTGTTAAAGGTAGTAGGAGACCTTTTCCAGGCACCTCGTCTATTTTTCTCCAGCCAAAGCTCACAGAAAGAAATTGCAGTCTTATAGTTTCTTTCTGGCATGTATCTTAACACATTCATTTGCTCTTTCTGTTGAGGTGTACCGTCAGTGCTCACCAAAAATACACAGTGTTAAGTTTATGTATAGATGAATGMAGATTGCTTGCTATCTCTAGAAGGTCATCATCATTTGTCCCTCTCAGAATATCTAACACAAAAAATGATAGAAAAAGGCAATATTTGGATTGATAGATGATGACGTGGGTAATTAGATTGTTCAGATCCCTCACTAGAGCTATTATTTCTAAGTTTCCAGCGCCTTGCTTTTCTCCTAATCATTGAAAGGATTTGTCAACATAGATTTCCTCCTCCTCATCATGGATGATGACATGATGTGCAGCCCACATTATATGCTGACAAGACAAGAACTTTTGAGACCCTCTTAAAATATTCTGTGCAATGCCCACTTTTTTTTTTTTTTTTTTTTTTTTTTGGAACAGTGATTTAACCTGGCAGGTAGAACTAGATGAAAGACAGATTTACCTGATCTTAACTTTTATTAAATGTATGATTCCAGTAGTTGCATGACTCAGAGTATGAGTATACCGATATTGGAAGAAAAAGGAATGGGCTGGTCTGGAAAACGCTTCCTCCTCACTGCCAAATTGTTAGCTGCTGTGTTGTAGCTCTAGATGCTGTCTGAAGTGACATGAGCTCTAAAACAGATATAGATGACCTTGCCACAAATGGCAGGAGGATTGGGTGAAAATCCCTTCCAAATTGCCCCACTGTCCTTGTCCTAAGGCCYCTTGATCAGGTTCATCTGTGTAGTGTCCCAGGAGGCAAGGAGGATATTACGTCTCATGGGTGGGCCTTCTTGTGGATGACTCTTGCCAGTCTCTCCCGCTTGCATTCACACCTGTGTCTGTGGTCTTCCTCTGCAGCGGATCTGAGCCTGGTGAATGGTGACGAGAGCTGCGTCTACTTTGCCGGAAATTCTCTTGGGCTTGAGCCAAGAAAAGTCAAAACTTACTTGGATGAAGAGCTGGACATGTGGGCTAGAACGTGAGTATGTTTTGGGACATGCAGAACATTAACCACCCACGCACCAGACAAGTGCTGCGGCTTATTTGGGACTGGCCTTGGAAGTGTTCTAACAGAATAGTGCCTAAAACCTGCTCCAAGCTGGGAGGAATAAGTTTAGCATTTCCTCAGCTCTATCTAAACCCRCAATAATGAAGCAAACAGTAGGGCAAGCAAGGAGAAGCTCCTCGTTGGGATGATCCACTCAGTGCTGCCTCCTCTTGCAGACCTGCCTGGCTGAACCACCCCTGCTCAGATCTCTGTGTTAGTAACACAGGGAACAAAGTCCTCTAGTCACTGCTGCTCACTCAGTGTGGCTCTACCTCAGTCTCTGATTTTTCTAATTCCTGTTTTTAACTGCTTGTGGTTCATCCCCAYGGTGCTTAGAGCGGGCAGGTTTCCTTCCTAAAGGCACTGAGCACAATGCTGCTCTTTGGCTTCTCTTAGCCCAGGTCCCTGCCTGATGGGCTCATCCCATTTGGAAAGCAATGTTCCTGTCTTCTCAGGGAGCTGAGCAGGGATTGCAACAGTCCCTGAAAGGAAATAAAGATAAGAGAATGAGAGGGATGTGCTTCAGCAGTGCAGAAAAGATGCATTTTGTCACCCTGGAGTCTTCCTTGCATCTGATAAATGCAAAACATAGATCACAAATGCATTTATATATGTAAATAAAAACACTACCTTATGATGTTTAAGTGTTTTTGTGAAGGTGTCCAGCACCCACCTGAGCAGCTGSAGCAGACAAGAGAAAGAAAAGAGATGAGTGAAAATCAAGTGGCTGAAGGCAGGAAAGGCAAGTCACATCTAGGTAAATGAGTGAGCTGGGAAAAGAGATGAACAGTTTTACTAGGTGTGGGATACGAGTGGAGCAGATGTGATTTTTATGGTGAGCGAGCAGAGGAAATAGAGGAGGTAGAAGAGGAAAAGCTAATCCTGCGAACAGGGACACCCTGAGCAGAGACCCTGTAGATAAAGATTTCACAGTGCAAATGTGAAAATCCAGTAGCTGCCATTTTACTCCACGAATGCCGTGGGTTAATAAAAACTGTTTACCMTCTCTTATTTATTACTTATGCTCTTGGAATTGGGGAGAGAGCTGGGAATGAATGAGAAYGAATGTGGGCTTGAGGAAGCACTCTTGCCTCCTGGATATTCATTCAGCACATCTTGGCAGTTCCTCCAGTTATTTGGAAAAAAAAAAAAATGCAGCCCTGTCCATTTCTGTATGATTATCATGCTTTATCAGGGAAACAGCTGAGTTCTTTCAAAAGGTAGAAGTCAGATAGCACTCTTATCTGCTAAAATGATGTGCTGGGAGTGCAAACATATTTCAGCTCCTTGGCTGTAGCTTTTTATTGGTTCCCTTCCATTCTTACATCTGCCTTTGCCACAATGAAGGGTTTATTTTATTTTATTTTTTTTTCCTGACTCAATATTTATAAAAATCCCAAAGAAAAGAGGAGGTAGTGTGTTTATCCAAAAAGACTCAAAGTAGCTGTAATTAAGGGGGAAATGTAACCACACCATGATTTTAAACAATTGGAACAGGAAGAGGAAATTTAGAAAAGCTTTTTGTCAAAAAATGTAACTTGGCCCAAACTTTTTTTGGAGTTCATCAGAAAATTAGTGTTCATGCGTGTGAGTCACGCTAGCTGAAGATACACCTAAGGCAATGGGAATGTCAGGGCAAGGTCGAACTACATTTGAACAAAGCAATTTGTGCTTAAAAAAAGGAAAAAGCTGATGTGGGGTAGGGTGCTGGGAACCACATAGGAATAGAGAGCTGGTGATGAACAAAATGAGTGTGGTTATTTCTGTCATCAAGGMCAGACAAGCAAAATCCAGTCAAATGTAATAGCAGGTACCAGCTGAAGTCTGCCCAGCAGCTCATGTGCCAGCAGCATGGAGTTCAGCGGCTGTGGCTTAGATGAATAAATAGCAGGAATCTTAGAAATGGCATATAAATTAGAAGCATCTTTCAAGTCAGCAATGATRTAGATTCTGGCTTTCTTATAAATTGGTTTATCGTGTTTTCTGTTTGTCTTGGGACTCATCTCAAATAGCTGCTATGCTTGTGTGTTTAAACAGTTCTTGCTCCTTGTAGCTGATGGGCGAGAAGGAAAGGGGAGATTAACTGGTGTCTACCTACCATCAAGGGCAAGGAAGTATGAATCTTTAGATCTGTGTGGTCATTAGAGTAAACCTGGACAGAAAGAGGCCTTTCCCACCACTTTCTCTTGTGTTGTATTCTTCCATACCTTTTCCCCTCTCCTTTGAATGGAGAACTTATACTTCTCTTAGCTCCGATTCCCCATATATGCCTTCTTTTTGTTCCTCTCTTTCCATAATCTCAGTTCCTCTTTTAATTTATGTTAAGATGTAAAGACTAAAAATTCAGTCTTATGGATAGTTTTAGCATAGATCAAAAAAGCATTTGATATTTCTTTTTTTTTTTTTTCCCCTTCCCTCTTTTGAGGATTAGAATTGGAGTAGAGCTCAATCCAAGATTACTTGAAGTGAAGAGATGAATAAAAGAAGAGTTGGAGATATCTTCTCCATGCATGACCTAGAGGAGCCAACAGGCCACTTGCTTGAAATGTGGCAGATAAAGGTTCCAGTGACATGTGTGGCTGGATAAGGTCAGGAGATATTCTGCAGCATGTATTTTCCTTTACCTCCAGAGCTACATATGCAACGAAAGTATTTCATAAAATAGWTATTGAATACATATATATAGCTTTTAGTACATAATGATTTATGTCCAAGTTAGTTATCAAAGTGGAAGTTTAAAATAAAAGGGATTTTGCTGTTGCCAAGTCACACTTTATTAAAGGGCTAGCAGGGTGATCAAGGGAGGGGAGAAGCTTTTGTGTGGAGGTCTTGGGGGTTGGAGCTTAGTTTAACAAAGTGAAGGAAAGGGATAAAAATGACTCTACCATATCTCCATGGGTAAGTCTAGTGGGGTGGGGGAGAAGGTGGAATGAACCATTTGTTTTGAAATGTTGATACAGTAAATGTAACCTAAATTAATGAATTTAGGCTGGAAAATTAAAAAAGAAAAAGAAAAAAAGAAAAGAAAAGAAAGAAAGAAAAAGGAAAAAAGAAAAACCCTTAATGCTCACAAATGTAATCTTGTATCTTGTAAAAAGAATCCTCTGACTGAAATGAGTAGAGCAGACAGAAGCTGAAGTCTTTGACAAGATCAGCTAACACTTGCAATAGCAAAGGGTTGTTACTAGTGAGTCCAAAGTCATCTCTAGTTAATCTTGGGGGATATAACAGCCCTGCAAACAAGAGTGCAGCTCAGCAGGTCTCGGTCAGGTTGGTCTGACAAACCCAYTTCAGTTTTGCAAGTCCTATCTCTCCATTCAACCTCATCCAGCAAGTTGAGTTTTAGACTGCAAATACCTGTTCTAAGGCCCTGGGTTTTGTTTCAGTTTTGCCTTCATATTACTGCTCCATGCATTTCTTCACCTTGGATGCGTCTCCCTTTCTGTTGGTTATTCTTTTGCCTGAAACCATAATCAAAGTTGGTCTGCATTGGCTCATTAAACAGCTTGCATCATCTTTGGCAACAAAGCAAGAAGGAAATTTCCGCTTGAACAAGATTTTGGATGAGCACAGAATATTCCTGAAGCTGGCAATTAATTTAAATCCCTTTTGTTATCTCCTTTGAAACCTTGGGATCATATCMGAAAATGCGTTTCTAGCTCCCCTAGCGAGCCCTAAATCAACGAGACCTCAGCACATAAAATGTGGCCTTCCGATTTCTTGCCAAATTGAAAATAAAATGATAACTGACGAAAAATTAAYTTGCACAAGGAGAGACTCTCACAGTAGGTAAAAATTTGGTTTGTATGGTGCTTCCTGGCTTGATGGACCACATTTGGTGTTCATTAATTGGGGTACCTCTGTTTAATTGGGGTACCTCTCGCTACCTGGAGTGCCGTGGAAACAAATTTAGAGTTGGGCACCTGTCTGAGTTGGTCTCAGTGCTGCAGTTGTGTCCTTAAAGATTATTACCCTCAGTGTCTACCAGAGCTGAGGGAGAGGGGTGGCATAATAGAGAGATATAAATTCTCTAAGGCAGAGCATAGAATTTTACAACCTAAGAGTAATAGGATGTATTGTGCCATCAGCAAAGGCTACAGAGTTTCATGTGATTAAAATAAAAAAAGGATCCAAGACTATGCCTTTAACTGCCATTTTAGCGGCAATAATTTTTGTCTCTTGGCATTTATATTGGCCATCAAGAGGGAGGCAAGCTGTAAGCTGTGCTGTAATAATAATAATATGAATAATAATTAATACTCCTTCTTCCATCTTTAAGTATACTTAAACTTTCCCGTTGTCTTCTCAAAATAAAATATTCTCATGCCTGAAATATCATATCGGTTTTCATGATAACTTGGAAATTTGTTCCAAAATTTTGTTAGTCTTGTGTGCTGGAATAGAGAGCTTCCATCAGTAAATTCCCATTAGAAGGGCACTAATGGCTATAAAATCAGCGAAAGCTAATGAAAGAGAATCTTGTAGGTAGTTAGGGCTTTTTTTCCTGTCATCTTGTGTCAGAATCGTGTTTCAGAAATGCAGATCCCTTTGGACTGAGAGCCATTGAAAATCTTTGTTTTTCTTTTAGCAGCCTATATTACCCCAAACTCCCTTCATTGCTGTATTGCATTTGAGAAGGGCAAAGGGCAGCAATGTCTTGCTGTTTGTGAAACATATACCACTGTCATTTAGTGTGCTGTGACCTGGTCTAGCTTAGGGGTCCTTGTTGTCACTGGTGCTAGCTTAGACTTGCTCATCATAGTGGGGGTATTTCATCATCTGGTCAACTCTACCTGTGTCCCCTGCAACCCCTTGCAGAAATAAAGGGTATTTGGTATATCGAAACACAGAAGAAATGAGATGGATCGTGCAAACTGTGTGTATATTTTTTTAAATTCTCCTTGGAGTCCCAAAGTAGACCCAGTGAGAAAGGGTGGGCCTAAAAACATCCACCTAATTTCTGTGGAAGGCAGGCATGATGGAACACAATTCTGCAGGAGAAGGATAAGTCTGAGGCAGACAGGAAAAAGCAATGTGTTTCAATAGGCTTAAGCACAGGGGACTCTTCAAAGCTGGTAGCTGCCTCCTACACCCTGTTCTTGCATGTCTCACTCTGCCAGCAGTCCTCTCATGTATTTGAGTGAATGCTGTAGGCTTGTTCTTCCCTGAAAGTTTTGTTCTTTTTTTTTTTTTTTTTCCTCACATCCCAGCTTCTATGTGAGTTTCTTTTTATTCTTTTTGTTTTGTCTTTTACTCCCTGCCCCGCTCCTGCTGCCTTGGTCCCTCTTCTGACACAGCCTCCTGCCACCTGCAGCCCCAGTACCCTGTGGTGCTCCACAAATAGGAAGATCGCCTGGTGCGAGGTGGAGGCCCAGAGCAAAGGATTAGCACCTTTTCCTTGACTTGGGCTTATTTGCATTTGAATCTGTATCCTACTGCCTGTGTGCTTAATAAGCTTTGCAATGTCTTTAWATATGCAGTGTGGCTACCATGGAAGTAGTCTTCTGCTTTACTTGAAGCAAAAATAAATTCCAGACAGTTGGTCCAGAAGCACATGTGCATATCTGTCACTTCAGAGTAATGAAGCTTTCAGGTTTAGGGTGCTGATTAGGGGGCTGGAGCATTCCAGAGGAGTTTGAGGAGGTAAAAGTTTGGCTTGCATAGCTTCTAAGCAATTCCTCCATGAGGAACCTATGACTGGTTGCCATTAGCTCCTCACTTGTGAGTTTCAGATTTGCACTAAAAATAAGGTACTTGGTTTATTCAAGTCTTCCCCCCTTCCTCTTCTCCAACCATTGGATCCCATTGGATCCTAGGGACTGACTCAAAGGGCGCGCCTCAGTTTTTATCTCCTGTTTCTTTTCCTGCTTTTAGAGGTGTTCATGGCCACTTCCACGGGCGCCGGCCGTGGGCCCTGGCGGACGAGTGCATCGTGGACCTCATGGACCAGCTTGTGGGTAGGTGCAACGTTCACTGTAGAAACATGAACGTACTTGGGCTCTTCTACTGCTGGAAGTCCTTGAACTTTGTATTGAGCATAGAATCACAGAATTTGGATTTGATTTCCTGTGTCCTTTTGTTTTAAGAGAGCTTTTTGACTGCCTGTTACATGGACTAAAACTTTATTTAAAGGCTGGAAGAGATTTAAGAGAGAAATGCAGGCAGTAATATATGAGTATATGCATATCATGAAACTAATYACAGCAAAGGGTTTCTTGGAGCATCGTAAACCACTTGGTCTAACATGAGAAGCCCTTTTAAAGGGCAGCTGGCATCAGAGTCCCTGCCTTTTCCCTAAAAGTGAGCCAGTGAACTTTCCCTTTTGAAAAATGACTTCTTCCTAGCTGCTTTCTGCCTCCTCCCGCTCTCCTGGCCCTGCTTTCCCTGTCGCTAAATCCGGCCTCATATCTGGGAACTTACGCCACTGGAGCAGATAATTGGGGCAGGACCTGCTATTTGCACGTCCCCATTACCCCGCGTGCTCCGCGCGGAGCCAGCGGCGCTGCGGGACGCTGATAGCGAGCGCGGCCGGTTACTGCAGAGGTTGCTCGGAGCCCTGGGAGCTCCTCCAGGCAAACCGGGCAGCCCCAAAAGCAGCCGCCTGTGTCCAAATGCAAATTCCCTCCCTCGCCTCTTGCTCCAGCTGCCAAAACGGTCTTTYGCTGTGATTTCCTTCAGATCTGTTGCCATCAAAAAGGGGAAGAGAAACGACATTGGCACGGTCTCCTGCAGCCCGTATTTTCTCCCCGATCCTTACGGCTCTTGTCAAGGCTAGGCTAGCAGATTTGAGCTGGGTTTAGCCAGTATATCAATTCAGCTGCTGAAGGTAGCTGACAATACTGACGGTCTGAACTGAGTTATCGCGGGTTCATTTGCGTCGGCACTAGGAAAAATATTACGGCTGGGTTGACCTGGCGTGCATTAGAGATCGTCTCGGGTAATTTCTCCTCCAGTTATAGACAAGTGCACAAGGAGCAAGTCCTGGCTTTCCTCCTTCAGGAGGAGTAAATGGGCTCGGAGCAAGAGGAAAGGGAGACGTTAAGGAGTGCTGCATGACAGGCTAATTTATAGAGTTATTTAACTCCTAAGGCAAATGAAGGGAACATGTGCAAATGCCCAGACTTCTTCATGAAGCTTCCAAATAGTGGGATTTTTCACTGGATCACAGCAAATATGGAATTATAGCTTTGTTATATGATTATTCATCATGTTAAGTACAAAGATAATGTAAATACCAGTGTACCTATTTTTGATGATGTGCTGTGTAGAGCTATTATCCTCATAGGAGGAAATAATTCCCAAAATGCAGGTCAGGCATTTTAGTTTTCTAGGTTCTGGCTTTGGTACTTGCCCTAGTATTCTGGTACTGCTCAGGAGTTTAAGAAAGGACTTTTTCTGAGTGTTGAAGGGCAAACATGCTACACTTATGAAGGAATGGGTAACATAAAATGCGAGAAATATGGGGAGGGGGAGGGTGGCTGGTTGCAAACACAGCCAAATTGGTGATGCTTATTTTTCTGTTTGCCCCATCCTTTCTGCTGTGATTCACAGATAGTGGGGCAGCTGTGAGCAAGCAGTGAAACAGAACCTGCCGCGCGACTGCCCAGTGAAGGCTTTGAAACTGCAAACATCAAAGTTAATTACGTGGGGGTGGGGGATTTATCTCAGTTCTGTGCTTAGAGCAGAGGGCAACGAGGCGAGGCTGCCTACCTGGAGGTACTTAGCTTTGCAGAGCAGCAGGGTGAACTCTGGCCCTCTCCACGTATCCAGCAGAGATTTGCTGTCCCGCAGGGCTAAATCTCAAATCCTGGTGGCTGCGATGGCAGGAGTGGAGGTGGCTGCACCACAGCCTTTGGCCCTGAGGTTTGGGTCAAGAGTCCCTGCAGAAAGCAGAGCATCAAGGCAGGTGGTTGTTGTTGCTATTATTATTATTATTATTATTATTATTATTATTATTATTATTATTAACTAGCCATATATCTTGCAGAGGTTGCCAGTTCCACATGTGTTATACTTCTTTAACTTAAAGATAACTGAAGTCCGGAGAGAGGAAAATCTAATATCTGCTTAAACTTTATCCAACTTGTCAGCCAGGCTCCCTATTTTTCCTTCATGAAAGCCTTTCCATTTTTATATATTCTATATTTATTTTTAACAGAATGCTCAGGCCACACTAGTCTTTACCACTTTGTTAATTTTACACATTGATACATAAATTTAAAAATTATATTCTGTAGACCCTGTCATGACTGAGGCATTTTCATTAACTATATTTAGGAAGACRTTCACCACTAGAATATATTTTCTAGTCCTGTTTTCCTGTTTTCTAGTCCAAAGAGACTATGTGCAGGAAAAGACAGTAAGATGGTCTCTTCCAATGCAGTACTTGTGATTAAGCACTCTCATCCAGCAGTAACAAGCATAAATAGCAAGTATATCAGTACGAGTCAGAAAATGAATTCTGMATTTCTTTTTTTGTGAGTTTAATGTGAGAACAGAAACAGAATTTTAAACATTTTTTATTCAATATTTATCACATTATGTAGTAGGAGAAGTTGTCATTTCTCACTCTTAGTACTAGTAAGTGAATATTTGGGAAGATCTATTTGGAATCAAACTGAAGACTGCAAAATTCCTTTCTCTATTTAATGGTTTATTGCACTATAGCCCCTTATTTATTGAACACAGCCGCCTTTTCTTGCTCAGTGAAAGCTGCAGTAGTAAATGTGCTGTGAGATGCAGAGCCAAGGTCGGTGGAGGTTCCCCTCTTCCAGGCTTGGTTCAGGCAGGTCTCTACCAAGCTACAAGGCTGGTGCTCTGATGCTGAGCAAATTTGCAGTGACTTTGAATGATAAGGATTATATAAAATGGCCAAACTGTCTGYAGAATGGGAGCTTTTTTAATGATATATATATTTTTTAATTCTCTTGGTGCAGATCAGGTCCCTGCTACAGCCAGAGAGGAGGACAGCTGCGTCTGCCTAACACAATCAGTATCGTCTCTAAAGTTGTGCTTTGCAAAYGCTGCTTCCCTTTATTAAAGAGGAGATTTATCAAAGGGAACATAGGGGTTGGAGATACGGCGTAAAGTTAGGAAACAGAGAAGGCAAACATAATTTTGTCTCCAGTGCACTGGGTCTTTGAATATTGTAATAGGTTAATTGGATCATGGAAAGATTGTTTTCTGAAGCACAGTGCAGGTTATGAAGGATAACAGTTTCCCAATGACACGGATGAAGTTTGTTTTGTGGGCATGAAATTCAATAATGGAAAGCTTTTAATAAATATATAATTTACAGAAGACCAAGCCTTACATGATAAATGTAGTGTCATATTTAATTTGGGTTGCTAGCATGCAGCTARGAGTGATCTACAGATTAACCATTTGTTTTGCACGCAGGCAGCACAGAAATCCCTACCGAAGCCACAGACCTCATGGCAGAAGAAGCCAGACTAGTACCGTTTTCTGGTGCTGGCCCTTTTCTTTCCAGCCTCAGGAGTCTATTTAAATATTAAGATTGCAAATAACAGCATTTTCAGCCGCAATCTTTCTCTGGCAGTCTTCTGTATCTGCAGCAGAACAGACACAAGGTGACCTCTCCCAGCAGCACGGAGCCTGCAGGTGCAATGCTATAAGAAGGGAGCAAAAACTGCTAAAGTGAGGAGAGGAAAGCATGTTTTTCCTTATGAGCAACTAGCGTCACTTACACTTCTTCCTACAAACCTGATGTCCCCAGTGTCTGGAGTAGGAAAACTACTCCTGACTTCGTTCCTAATTCCTAGGCATCTCCTCCTGACTTCACGATATCTAATAATATGCCTTTCTGCATTATGCTTAGATTTCTGCTCAACAAGAAAAGGGCCATTGAACATATGAGTGGTTTTTGCTGTCGTGACAGAAGCTGAGGCTTGCTTGCCATGGGATCCCTTAGAGAGATTTTATGAGTAATTTATGCTTTTATATGAATTTTCATGTTTATTGGCCATGACTTGTATTGAGGTCAAACCAGTGCTGCTTTCCTGAGCAGGTGAATTCATAGCTCCATGAAATGCTGTGGGATGTGGTAGGAAGGTCTTGGTGCTACCACTTCTCCTGCAGCAGCCAAGGCTTGGTGTCCCCAGGATGGGGACTTTTTTTCCCTAATGTTGTGTTCTCCTTTCTTCCTTTTCTCCATCTTCTCTGTGATRCCTGCTCTCTCTGGATGTTCACACAGTTCTGCCTCTATCTCTGTGTCCCTGCCCTCCAGTCCTCTTCGGCAAACTCTACCTCAGTCAAGACGTATAGGCAATACTACCCAAACTACCTTCATTCAGCCAAATATTCTCAAAGCACTGATTTGTGTCAAGGGTGGATTAATGCTTTTCAGCAATGGACATAGGGTGAAGGGGAAACAGAAATAAAAGTTGATTTTTCTCCCTATCTCAGCAGTGCTTTGCCTAATGTGCAGTCCCTCATCCTTCCTAAATCCTTCCACCAGWGGTTCATAAGGGTTTGAGAATTCATTACTACTTAATAATAGCAATCTTTTGTAACTCCATTAGCTCAGTCAACAATTATCTGTAGCCAAAGGCATCTGTTATTCACATCCTTAAGGCTGGGCACACATGATGTCTTGTCCAGCTGCTATGTTAATAGTGATATCCTATATTAAGTCATTTTATTTTGCTTTTTGTTAGGTATGGGGTTTAACTCAACATCACAGTAATGGCTTGTCATAGATGATGATGACTTGATTATATCTGGGGTATTAATGACAATAAATCCACTAGTAGCGTGCCGGTAAATGGAAATTTTTTTTTTTTTTTTTTTTTTTTTTTTTTTTTTTTTNTGTGTGTGTGTGTGTGTTTATTTTGGTTTCTGTAGTTGACCTGAAAAAATAAATATTTTCCTGTCAGAGTGGTGTCGTGAGTCAGACAAGAAATCTTTCCACTTCTCTGCAACGACACTTCAAGTATTTGTTTACTTTTTAGCCTTTAGAGAGGCATCTAGTGAAAAAAAAACGTGCTTTTGCTTTGAAAGTGTTGTATTGCATTTCTTTGAAATTCTAGTGGAATAATCCCAACCTGTAAATTTTTACATTTCAGGGGCCCAAGGAGGAGAAGTAGCCTTAATGAATGGGCTAACTGTCAATCTGCACCTCTTGCTGGTACGTCYTTGCAATGCTTATGGGACGCTGTATTGATAAAATAGTCTGCATTGACTTGGGAAGGACCTTTCGTAGGGCGCTCTTGGATGGCAACGTGGGATAATGACCAAGCTTTTTGGAGTTGTGTCTGACAGGAGAACCTGATCTGTGTTTTGACTTCAGAGGGAGGAATGCTTTGGGAACCAATGGGCAGAGCAGGGAATAGGAGGCTGGTTCTCCGATGAAGTCCTGTCTTGACGTTGATCCCTCCCCARGGAAACTTTCACTGTTGGATTTTTGTGGCCTCTGTTACAGGTCTACAAAATAAAATATTATAATACTTTTCTGCTTGATAAATGTTATATGGGCACATAAATATTTGTTATTCCTGGCAATTCTCTGATGCAGCCTGTGCAAAATAAAATAGACTTTGCTAAGTTATTTACTGGAAGGATCTCTGTCTTACCTCTGCTCAGATATGTTTTAACATATTTTTTTTTTTTTTGGTTTTAACAGCTATCTTTTTTTAAGCCTACACCAAGACGCTATAAAATTCTTCTAGAAACCAAAGCTTTTCCCTCTGACCATGTAAGAAATTAATATTTCACCATATTTGTATTATTAATCATTTTTTTTCCAAAGAATATCAGTACCCTGATTTGAATATTTATTAGCTCATCTTGTCCAAGTAACATTACAATAAAAAAATCTGTCAGAAGCCTTTGAGCTCAGCATATTTTACAGATTGTAGCTTTATTCCTTTTGTTCAAATAAAAAAAATGTTACAAGAGGAAAAGATTGAATGGGTACATTGATTTATTAGTCCTTTTAAAGGCATTGAGCAAACTGCTGGCCTAAATCAACTGAAGTTGTAAATATTTTATTAATTCTTGTTGCTGTTTTACTTTATGAAACCAAATCAATACAAACTCCCAACATTAATGCTTATATATCCCCAGACAGAGATGGAAATGTTTGTTCTTAGCACTTTAGATTACTAGTTCAAACATAATTTGTGTGCTATAAAATGGGAGACAATAGCCCGTGCATCGGAGCTTAGAGCAAATTAATCTTTTGGTTTGTGGCCTGCTGCTACTTTATCATCAACTCGGTAAACTCCTGGAAATTGATAACAAATTTGATCTCTAAGGTGCCATAAAAATGGCTCAAACTTGTAACAAGTTTATTTGTAATGAAGATGGCGGCACAGACGTATGCAATTGAAATTGCATTTATTTGAAGTGATGCTGATCCCAATGCTACCTTTGCTCCAAGTGTGCYGGTGCATCCGTCCAGTTAAATTTCTGCAACACCTCAGTAACTCCCTATGCACCAGCAGTCTCTTCCATTTCTGCCATGTAATTTTGAGCTGTTTTATAGCATTATTTGCTTTTTTTGCCTTCTCCAAAGCCTTATTGAGCAATAAAATCATTGAAGGTTTAGAGATCTCATTTCCCCCTAGATGTGCAGCTGATTGAAGTTGGAGCATAGCATGGACCAACATGCCAATCCCAAACCAAACCAAAGCAAATTTAAGATCTTCTCCTGGATTAGAATTCCACGTGTTAATTTTAGTGAAAGGCAGGCATCTCAGTCCCTTTTGTTGAAGATGCAAATATACTTGGCTGCTGTTCTGTTTTCGTTTTATCATTTAATTATTCTATGTGGACATTTCCTGCAGTACGCCATTGAATCCCAGCTCCGATTTCATGGACTTGATGTGGAGAAATGCATGCTCATGATACATCCACGGGAGGTTGGTGAGAAGTATCAAGGACTTGCAATTTTAGCAGCAGACATGTGCTTTGGACTAATGTGATCATATGCCCTTAGATATTGTAGTGTGTGTCTGCTTGCCTGAGTTAAAATCTCTATTTTGTTTAATTCTTTCAGTTAGATTTTATGCAGTGTTCATTCCTTTTGTGTGTTCTTTTGATATTGGAACCCATTTTATAATTGTGTGGTTCAACTAACAACACTTGCCCTAAARAACAAAAAAAAAGTTATCTTTCCATCCCTATTTTTCCTGTTTGTAATAGCAGGCAGCATCCTAACAGAAATGCAGAACGGAGCAGTTCATCSCTTCATTCAGAAGCCCCAATGCCCTTTTATTGTCCTAACAAAAAATTGCCTTGACAAAATCACCTTTGTATCTTTATCAACGCAGACTAAGGGAAAGGTCTGCTTGGAGAAATATGCAATTCAGATGCRTGTGAAAGATTCCCTTGCTTCACTTTCATGGCATTAAAAACTTTGCCACCTARCTATAAACTGATGATGACCTTTTGTTTCTGAAATCTGAGTCATCTTGTGAGCAAAGAGCCTCCACCTGAATGCTTGATAGATTTGCTAAGATTGTTGGGGTAATAACAGTTGCTTTCAATTCAGCAATCTTACTGCAGCTCTTTTCAGTAACAAGTCTAATTTAATTCTGTGTTTTCACACCCTAATTGATCCCTAGGTGGTGGCTTGTTTTACACAGTCCCTTGCTAGGAAAGCAAGGGGAGGATTTGGCAGTAATTTTCCTGTAAAGAATCAAAAGTGAGGGTTTTTTGGGGTTGAAATTCTTCTATATTTAATGACTCCAGGTTTGGAGATTTTTGTAGTTTTGATGATGTGAGGCTTATTGTCTTTGAAATATAAATATGGCAGGTTTATAATAGCTTCCTGGGGGTATGAAGTTTATCAGAAAAGTACAGACTGAAACTGATAGACAACTTAAGATTTGTGGGCATCAAAAATTTCAGAATCCACAAAAAATGATCCATACTCTTTGCACCAGTTTTTTTTTTTTTTAATACTGTAAGTTAAAATTGTCAGAAATGAAAACTGTGAAGCATGATGGAATACGTAGTAAATGGACTTTTTAAGACTGACATCTTCAAGATAAGTTTGCTAATTATTTTTAATTCCCCTTCACCCAAGTAATCTACTGATAGGCTACTTCAAGGCACTACCTTTGTATATCATTACCGTGCTAAGGGGTTGTCTTTGATCTTATGCAAGCAGCACAACTCAGTAAAATATAGATTATGAAATAAGAAACGACAGTTTCATTACTGCCAGAGCTGATGTAAAACATGCACTTTAACTTTGTTTTAGGGGGAGGAGACCTTGAGAACTGAAGATATCCTTGCTGTAATTGAGAAGGAGGGGGACTCTATTGCCGTAATTCTGTTCAGCGGAGTGCAGTACTACACGGGACAGCTGTTCGACATCCCCAGAATAACAAAGGCTGGCCAAGAAAAGGTAGAAATGCTCCCAAACTGTCCTCCTGACAACAGTTTTAGATCCATTTTCCTTGTGAAATATTTTTATGGTGGAAATATTTCCACTTTTTGTGGAACTTAAACYATTTTTGTGACCTAAACTATGTAGAGAGATTATTCATGACTATTCACTTTCTGCCGGGCTCTTCTTCAAGAACAGAATCTCAAGAAGTTCAGGGGAAGAGGAGGTGGTGATCATAGCTCCAGACTYTCTTTAAAGGTTAGAGGAGCCTGTGTCAGACTTGTGCTTTTCAACAGGCTTTCATGCTCTTCCTCTTTTCCCACCCTGCTGCTGGCAGCTGCTATCACAGCTCCACAGCTCTCTTCCTCCAGCCAGCGGGGCAGGTGAGTTCCCCGCAGAGCCGGCAGCGCTCCGACTCAGACGGGCGCAATGKGGAGTACATCAGCTTCACAGGATGACTATGTGACTATATTTTAGTGATGACTCGGCTCCAGGAACTTGCAGAGAGCGTGTGAGAGATCTTACTCTATGGACATAGCTGTAAAACTTCTTTAACCGTCTTCATTGCCTCAGGTATCAGGAGAAAATAGCTTTTAATCAAGTCATCTTATCAACAAGAGGTCACCAGGCTCTCTAGATGGGTGGTATTTTATTGCTGTACCTTATCTCATCTAAGATTAAGCCACTCAAGATAAAAGCTACTTAGTATTACTGGATTTCTGCAAACCAGCTAATTATTTGTGTGTCTTAACTCTCTAGAGAGGTTATTGGCTCACACTCGAGCATACATCTTCAGTTGATGTGGGTTTGCCAGAGCATGTTTTTCTGGAGGTCAGAGTAAGTTATGGTGGTGTGTATGGAAGTGATGGTAAGGTGTCCCTTAGGAGACCAGAGCAGATGCCGGAGTTAGTGCATGTCYCACGTGATATAAAAGTGCATATTCTTGCTGAGCAGCATCTAGCAACAAAATTGCTCCTGGATAAGGTATAAGACCAGCTCCTCAGATGGATGCAGAACTCTGTGAGGAACTGAGGAGRAAACTGGGGTCTGTGTATGCATTAGATCAGTATTGCTCCAAAAACATCTTCACAGTGCTTTCCTTGAGGGTCTTCCAGTCTTTCTCTAACAATAAATAATCTAAGAGCTATGCTGAAAAATTTGCTGGAAGAGAAGATAGTGTATTAATAGGATGATGCCACCTAGCTCTCTGCTCGCTCTTGCTCCTGGTGGCAGCAAAACTTTTGTTCCCCAGCCAGTGCCTACGCACRTACCAGACTGCCTCTCCAAAATCTGCTGGCTCGATGATGTGTCTGAAAGGTGTCTGGGAGAGAAATTTTTTTCTCCTCATACTGTAAATATGAACAACCTGGGAAAAGCATCTCACTTCAACGCCTCCCTAAAGATGTTCTCTAAACCGTGGACCACATGCTCAGCCAACTGAAAGTTCTACAGTGTCTCTGAAAGTTTTAAACTGGCCCAAATTGGATGAGAATCCCTCTTCTGGAGTTAAAAAATAGTTACCAAGTACTTCATTACATGGTGTGAAAATGAAGTATATTATCTAAGAAGATGACCAGAACTTGGCAGAGAAAGCTTAAAAACTCTTCCTGAGATAATACTGTGAACACCGGAGAGGACTAACTCTTTATAAAGGAATCTGAATGTGACATGAGATGATGCTCTGTCCTTTTATCTCTCTTTTGCTCTTGTTGCCAACCTCTGCGCGGTCTTGTCAAGAGATTTCATAAACTATGTGTGTGTATGTATATACGTATTTATATTTTAATTACCACTCTATTGAAGTTAGTACTTAAGACTGAGGTCTGTGTGACTTTGTGGATTATGAATAATCGCATGAGTATTTAAAAATATATATACGTCCAAAGAACTACCTGGATACCTAGAAAACTTGAAAAATTTGAGCCAGTCCAGTTGTCATTTTCCACATAAACATTTCAGTAAGTTTATGGATTCTGCTTGCTGCGTTAAGTGATGTTTAGATGTTTGTACAAACTACTATGTAGCATACCCTTATAGCACTCTTAATTATCTGCATAATGCAAGTATTTACTCAAATAGCTGTTAAATCAGCAAGTGTGCAATGTTAGTAGTGATAAGAATTTATCCTGTGTCTTGCTCCTTCTGTAAATCTCAGAGCTTTTGGTTACCCCAAATAAAATGCCCGGTCTTCAGAAGTACTTGACTAGGTATCTTCTTGATCCAGACAGAGCTGATGCTGGGAGCTGTTGTTGGGTTTGAGGAGAGCAGAGGAATCTGCTGAACCAGAGGCACAGAGGGAGGAGGAATGTAAAGGAAACACAGCCTTCCTACTCAAGAAATCTGAATTTATTTAGCCGAAGATCCTGAATATGAATGGTTTAATTTAATATAGAGTTTTCTGTCCTTGTTTTAGAAACTGGCTAAACCTCTAATGCAATGCTTCTATGCAAGTATGRGGTAWTTTTTTTTTTTWTATATATATTCTGTTTTCTCTTATTTTTAAGACTATGAAGCAAAATGGAGATGTGGAGACAGAACATGCCATCTCATCTGTGAGATACCTGGCAATAGCTATAATCWCAAACTGGCAGTACCATGTGTTAAATGAAGCAGTTACATTTGGAGTTAAAACAGTGCAAGTCCCTTGAAAGAGAGCAGCATTTTATACTTTTTATACYTTTTTATACTTTTTTTGTATAAGTATGCTAATCTAAATGTAAAAGATGAGATGGCAGAGATGTATGTAGAGTGGACAGGAAAAGAAGTAAAGGAAGTGGGTGGGGAGGGTTTAAAACAAAGCTAGCATAGGTCTTGTAATCTTTCATTTTTACTATTGAACACAAGTCAATGATTAAGATAGGAAGAGATATAACTGATAATCTCCCTAATTAAATCTTACTGACCTTTTTGCTTGCATTTCATTTCATGAGTATTTATTGAGGCTGTAGTTCCGAACACATCCTGTGTTTGCAGTGTGACAGCAGCAATTTCTCAGGTTATGTCTGAATGCTGCACTCCCATCTGTGGCCTTTTAAGAGCAGAGATGGCTCCTTATATTCCRTACTTGCTGGAGTAAGATGTCCTAGAAGCAAGGAGCACCGTGTTCCCCTATGGAGGTTTAGTGAGGGCAGTCAGCACAAGCATAGCAAGGATGTGGCATTTTCATTCTTTTGTCTTGGACTGCTCCCAGGTGCGCAGCTATTTCTCCTTCATAAGGTCTTTTTGGGAATGCTAAGAGATTATCACGTTCTCAGTGGATATGGTGTATGTTGCTATACAGATATTTCAGTCCTCTGGAGAATTAATCTGATTGATGGAGAGTGATGCAGATTTGCAGTTGCCATTCAGGTGGCTAGAGGGATGTGGCTTTATTACCTACTGAATTAGTTGCCAGCAATGTGCACTGACTTAATTTCTCTGTGCTGTTTAGTCTCTACTCCCAGACTTGCAAGTCTTCAGGATAGGAAGCATATGGACTGAAAGGCTGTCTTTCCTTCCAGAGCTTCTAGAGCTGAGACAACCAGTTGGAGTTATGACTGTCTCATGCAAGAYACTGTATTATCAGAGAGATCCTGCGTTCTGTTAAAATCTATACTAAAAGAGGATAAATTTGAGAAAGTTATGTTGATGGGGAGAATATAAGACTCCTACTAGTGATGAAGGACAGTGAATGACTCCATGATCTTGAACAGAAATAGGTTGGGGAGAAGTGATAAACAAGGAAATAAGATGGGGAACTTTCAAGGTAGAAGTGTCATTTGAGAAGAGAGGGGAAAAACGCTTGTCAACTACTATAGCAAAGTCCTACGGAGATGCTCTCAACAATTCTTTTAATGTACAGTCTAAATAAGAACCTGTAGTGTTGTAGCTGATCAGTCTTGGCTAGAGATTTGAGTTGCAAGTGCAATCTGGAAAATGTCCTCAAATTCATAAGGTCAGTTATTTATGAATTAAGTTAYTGACTTCCTTTAACATTTTTAAGCCAATTTCCTAAGTTCTCTGCATATGTTAAGGTTCCTCGCAGAGTGAAAGCTCTGCACATAGACAGCTTCATTAAGTCATTAAATATTAAATGAACTAAATTAAGCTTGAAAAATTACTTCTGGCTATTTTTCCATCTTAAGTCTCCTGGATAAATCAAAATTACTACGTATTGTGCCAGAGACTCATCAGCAGCCTGAGGAAGCTTTAGCACTTTTCCTTGTTTCTTATTTTGTGCTTGCTTTAGAGGATGGGGGTTGGTTGAGTCATTTTCCTTCTTTTCAAGTGAAGAAATGGCCAGCTTCTAGGATGCTAGCTTTCAAGTGCAATTTTCATAAGTTAGATTGAACTTTCAACTGACTCTGTGCAGTATGTAAAGTATTTTAATCTCCTGAGTCCCTGTAGGAAGAGCTTTAAGATCCTTCATCTTCATTTCTTTTCCTGTCTCTCTTTCTAAATGTCCCAGCTTTGCTTGTGTGAGGCTGTCATTTCTCTCTCTCTCTCCAAATGTCATTGTCCATGCTGAGTTGTTACCTGCTGATTATCAGCAGCCATCCAGACACACTGCAGAAATGACTTTTAGATGTTAAAATAAAATGGAAGAGGCAGGGGAGAACACAAGTCCTCTGCTTTGCCCAYGCCAGATGGAGAGCTCTGTTTATTCCCATAGTTTGGGGAAGTGACATTCCCACGCAATCCCTGTTCAGCTCATTCAGGAAGAGCCATTTTGGTTTGTTTTACTTATAATATGCAATCTGTGTGACTAAACATTTGCTGTTCATGAAGCTTGAGTGCCAGACGCTCTTCCCCTTCCTGGGGAAGGAAAGCAGTGCCGCCCATTTTGCAGAGGACAACGTGAGCAGAAAGGTATGAGGGGACTTGACCAAGGTCATGCAGGAAATCTGTTGACACTGAACCTGGATTTTCAGGCTGCATTGAATTAATAAGTCAAACAGCACCCAGAAGATGTTGAGCAATTTCAGAGCRGAGAAGAACAGCCACCATCCTCCAGGATTATGTCCTAGTGGGTCCTATGGGAAGCTAGGAGAGACCAGTAGTGATGGTACAAACTTGTCTGTCCCAGGTGGTTTTGGAGCCCAGGGGCACTTGTGGCAGGGTTTGGTCTGGATTTATATTGCCCCTTTCTAGTGTTGTGGTTGCAAGGGCATCCTGCCTTCTCGTATCTCGGGGAGTTTTGTGCTACTTCTCTGATCTTATCAGTTTGGCAGTCATCTCAATTTTCTTTTTCTCTTTGTCACCTTCTGTTCAAATGTTTTTTAATAGAGCATATCACTTGCAGACAGGGAAAAGGCTCAACTGAAAAAAAAAAAGCAAAAAACAGCTGATTGTAATAACTGCAGAATTGCTTTTTTTTTTTTTCTTTTGTAATGAGAAGTTACTTTTTTTAAAAAAATTGTTCATATACTGCCAGACAGATGCATTCTGTCAGGCTATCGCTATATTCCTGCTTTCCACTGCAACCGACAAATTTCTGACAGAACTTGGGAAGGTCTGTGTGGGACATGGAAGAAGGGATACCCATAATTATTAAAATCCAGTCAACTGAAGCTTTGCAGTTAATGTCTTAAAATGCAGCTAAGTTAATGTCTTAAAACTCTAAGAAAACTTCCTTAATCAGAACCAGTTGATTTTAGTTTGCTGTAGCTAATTTCTCTGAACCAAGGCTATCTTATCGCTGAACAAGAGCATTCTCATGGGACTTCATTGTGCTTAAACTTTTCTGAATTAACTTCACAATTTCAGTTGGTTTGTCTTAATTTACTTCTGCATGTTCCTGTGAAGACAGAGCACTGTAGATGCAAAAGTAAGGATATTTAATGGGACCTTGGTTTTGTGAACGTTTATATTGTGCAAATGCTAAGGCAGTGAGTTTTCTTATCATTTTGGAGTGATATCTTAAACTGATAACTTCATTAGCACCTCTATTAGAATTAATATGTCACATCATCTTAAAATGCTGCTTCATTCAAATAGTTATATTTTATATAGGAGATTAAATATACCAAAGTACTGTTTAAATAATTTAGGTGAGATTCCCTTTGTGCAAGAAACAGCAAGAGACTTAAGAACAATCCTTTGTTTTATTATTGGATCTAGATGTTTTTGAAGCCTATGCTCCCACCCTTATTCTTACCATGCTGTTTGCAAGCAGGTGGTTTGTTTTTAAAGCAAAATGCAAAACAGCATTTAATTTGCAGTCCAGGCACAAAAGGCAGTTTTATTTCTCTGCACTTAAATAGCATAGCTTGGAAGAACTTTTGGAGGCTTTTAGCTTAAAAATGCTGCCATCCAGTGGTTAGTTCGTGTGTGAAACTGCTGTTTTGGGTCTATACCTCAATAGTGGTCGTATACTTTTTCGGTCTTTTAGAAAAATTGTGTCAGTAATAAACACATCCATTTTGCAGAGAAAAGGGAAAATGCTTTTGCAGCTTTCAGGGTCAAGTACAAAAGTTCTTAAAGATCAACCTGCTGCATAAGATGTTCTCTCAACATGTTTCACTTCCCAAAGAGCTAGATCCTGTAAAGGACAAAATCAGGAGGACCTTGAGTTTAAATTTTTGAATGCATTTGTTATAGTATGGCTAGTGTCATTATATATGTCACTGCTATTTAGTGTCTACCTAGGGCTTGGCCTGTAAGTCAAGTGTTTGAAATAATTTGTTCATTCTGAATATTTATTTCAAGCTATTCCACTTTATTCCATAAGAATAAACTTAAGAGACCTAAACTATGTTCGAATGTCCTTGAAGGCAAGCTTTTAAAAAAAAAAAAAAAAAAAAGTAAATCTGGATTTGGATACATAACTACTGTAAATAAACATAATTTTGTTAATAACACAAAATAGATGGGACTTGACAGCATGGCTGTATAGAACAAAAGTGCATGCAGCCTAAAAGATACTTTTTGAAAAATCATTTTTATAGTGATGGTTATTTTTGTAAGGAATGTATTGCATGTTTTTTTTCTGCAGGGTTGCTTTGTGGGATTTGACCTGGCTCATGCCGTTGGCAACGTGGAACTTCATTTACATGAGTGGGGAGTAGATTTTGCTTGCTGGTGTTCCTACAAGGTAAAAGAGATTAATTGCTTGAGAATATTTTCCATAATATTTTTTTCCTGATGGGTCAGCAAACCAGTGACCTTTGGTTGAGACATTTGGACCTTTATCTGAGAGTGTAGATGGCCTTTTCATTTTGATTCCACTGACTACTGAAGTCTCTTCTGACAGAGGAAGGAGAAGCACTAAAAGATATTTTTCTTACTTGATTTCTTCCGAAAATGAGAAAATTTTCTAAGAACCAGTTTATTCAATGACTCCTTTTTTTAGGACTAATTATAAAGAGAGTTACAGTGGTGGTTTCATTTGTTTTACATTTTTTTTCCTTGAAGAATACTTAGCTTTTCTTGGCAAGTGGAACACAGACACAAAAAGGTGATGGACACAAGCTTAGGCAGCAATTTTCTTATTTGTGATTTTAATAGTCAATGCTGGCAATTTTTTGTTTGACCTGCAAGCTCTGATGACTCTTGGCAGATGAATTTCAGAGTGATGGTAGAACATCTGCTCTGACTGTTGTCAGATGAGGCTCTTCTGTTTTATTCCATGTGGAGGTCTTGCAGCTACAGGGTTTTCATAAGAATATCCTTGTCTAAACTTAAATAATTTCAGGTCATTATACAAGGTGTCTTTAGTTTTGTCAACTTTTTTGATGTTAGAAATTCATAGGTAGAGTTGGGTGACTCTGTGGGGAGTATCAATGTATATTATGATATGGGACTGCTTTGACTTCATTTTTTTTATGAACTTTTGCCTGTCACATTTTAATTATCATGTATAAGCCGAGAAAGACATTTTTAGAACTAATTCGAGAATGAATCTGCTTTTACCTAGGCTCTCACTTGGAGACAAATGCTAAGATTGATACTAAGATCTTCAATTAGAAACCATTAGGAATGTTTAAATTGCCCTATTTCATAGGGCAGSGTGAGGGAAGGAAAGCTATCCCTTGGGGATAATGAGCACAAAATGCTCAATGCATGTTGATTTATTCCTTGCAGTATTTGAATTCTGGAGCAGGAGGTCTGGCTGCTGCCTACATTCACCAGAAGCATTCCCAGAGTATTAAACCAGCGTGAGTATATGTCTGTACCCAAATAAAGCATAAAGGGGCTGTGAAGTTAAAATGAGGCAATATCTTCCCTTTGAGTTTAAATCTGGAAGTGACAAAATGTRAAAGATTCCTAGTCATAGACTGAAATCATGTTATATTCGTGCGTGTATGTGGTGTATACGTATATTTATATATAGTGTATAGATGCAGAAGGATAAGTTACTGCTTCAAAGAAAACCCGCTAGCCAAAATTTTTTGAGTGATTACATTAACAAAAAGGGCAGGTTTAGATAACTTAGTTATCTGGCTTTGTTACCTTAGATGGGTGAATTTATGCTAATTTTAGCTAATTTTGAAATTGTCAATTTACATGCATACTCACATTTGAAGTAGATTTTTTCCTTGAGATCTGCCATCAGTTCTCAGTGAAATATAATTACAAAAAGGAATACTTATAATATTAAAACTAACCAACCCAATCATGCCTATGAGACAGTTTAAAGTAAAGAGAATGCTTAACTTTTTCTTTTTAAAAATRGATTTTTTTAAATAATCATAGTCTCTGGTTGGTGAACAAAATCAAAGCCAATTTCAACTCGCTACCTAATAGCTCTTTAATGCTGGCTTGTTTTCATTAAAATTACATCCACTGGTAAAGCTAGGAAGCATTACACGGAGATCTGTGTTCTCRAAGACTTTATAATCCATGAAAAGCTGTGCTATCAGAACGGAGGTTAGCTGCATTAAAAAAAAATACCTGTTATTTAAAATGTTATATGACTATAGTCTATATAGGTGTATTAAGAACAGTAGGATTAAGACTTTTAATACATCGACAAATGTAAACACTTTCTCGCTGTAATACCTGGAGAAACTGTTGGCACTTGCTTTTATTTTAGCTTGAAGAAGGCAAACTAAATCAGGTCTCAGAGAGGAAATAGCATTATAATAAGCAGCTTCACTGTAGCCTGTGCTGAATTTAGACTGTCTAGACTCTTGGTAGATAACAAAACGCTGATGAGTTCTTCTCAGTCACCATAACAGAAAACTCATTATAATGATATATGACCCATCATGGGCTGATTTGACCCTCACACGTGAACGCTGCAAAATCTGGATATTTTTCTGGATTGTTCCACTAGATTCTCTTTCCTCACAGATTATGCTACTTTTTGTGCTTTTAGTTGCCCATTGCCTAGTTGCTCTTTGTGTATCTCCTTTGTGACTCTGGAAGTGTGGTGGCCGAGGCTTTGGGGTGCAGCTCACCTGTGCTGGATATGTTGGGTAGCTGGGGAAGATGCCCAAAGAGGTGTCTTTTGGGTGCCAAAGGAGCAAGCCTGCTAGAGTGCACRGAATAGTAATAGAAGGAAATGGGAATGTGAAACAAACAAACAAACAAAAACACCTCAAGGACTTTGGAGGCTTTTTTCCCTCCACGGTGAAATTTGGAAGCTTTTGTGAGGACACTAACTGAGTATTGCAGGTAGGAGCTTTAAATTAGTTTTTTTTTCCTGAACCAGATTCTTCATACATAGTCATTAACTTGTGTATTGGGTTAGGATATAGAACGTCTTAAATATAAATGCTTCTGTGCAATAGACTTTTTCAGCCTAGGACCCAATTAAGGACACAATTCCAAACTTCCTGCAGAGACTGTTAACATTATTAAAGCATAGTTATTTCATACTGCCTACGATCTGATAATCACTCATCAAATTGTTAGTAGGTGATACTCCCCCTGGTTGCTTTGCTTTTCTTTCTTTTCCACATTGACCAGCCACTTCAGGGCTCTAAATAAGGCAGTGAGACAAAGGAAAATTTGTCTATGTCAAAGTATTCAATTTTACAGCTGATTTAAATGCAGAGCAATTTGCTGCATGTTGTAAAATCAAATAGAGTGGAATTTAACTGCTCTGGAAGTTACGGGTTTTATGCTGTATCTAAAAAGTCTTCGGCTGTCGTCTGAATCAAGGATGACACCCAGTGGCCAGACAACTTCATTCAAAAGCAGAAGCACCCAACACTTTCCCTCGCTATACACCTCATCCCACGCATGGGTTGATTAAATTCCAGTCTAACGGATCTCCTTTTTGTCATTTGGGTGTTCTGAAATGCTGTTTTTAATTCAAGGCCAACATTGCAGGATTGCCAGTATGGATTTCCTTGTGTGTCTCATCCTTCGAGTTATTGGTTAGGCAGTTATTTTTGATGTCACAGTTATATAGTGCATTTTAATATTAAATATATGTTCTGACTGTAATTCAAGGATGCTTATTTGCTGCTACTTTATTCTAAAATGCAGCTGGAGGAAGAGGTTTTTGTTTTTTTAATAGTCTCCTTTCACCAGGAAAGGCCACCTTAAGCCACATTCTGCTTGGAGTCCCCAGTCCAGGGTTGTGGCAACCTCTGTGCAAAGCAGGACAACTCAAAACTGGTGTTATCTGATAGCATTTTGTGTGATATGTTGCAGAGGTGTTGATTTTTGTCTGCTGTTTTTCTTTATGTGCCTGTAAGCTTCTGATGAGTTGTTCCAGCCTGAGCAATTTTCTAGTAAAGAATGTTACSTGATGCACAAAAGCAATGTTGGATCCTCAGGCCTGATGTGGAGTAGACCAAGGCTGTGAATCTAGAGGTCCCCTGACCCATTCTGCATTCCCTGATGTACCCGGGGATCTCCATTTCTTGATGCTGGATTTCTTAATTCATGACAAGGGCTGCAGGTCTATAATCTACCTGTACCAGCATCTAGCATCTTTTCCCAAGTGTGTTGGCCAGTCTTTTGCCAGTCTCAACCTTTCTTATTTTGGCAGTAAAATTGGATCAATCTGACATATATGGGCACAACATCCCCCTTCTCACATGACCTCAGCTCCTTTTTGTAGCCTATTATTCATACTGGAAGAGGTGTGGTAGGGTGGTTTATTTATTTATTTATTTATTTATTTATTTATTTATTTATTTATTTATTTATTTATTTTTATATCTGTCTATATATCACAATGCAGTCCATTCCTGGCTAATTGTTCTAGGTTCACGTCTCCATGGGAGAATTTCAAATAGGAAAGGCCTGCTCAGAGCAAAGCTACAAAATGATAGCAGAACTGTTTGGCTAGTTACTGCTTGCCCCGTCCTCCACTGAAGACTGTCCATGTGGACTCAGATTGCAGAGGAGATATTTTCCAAGGTGCAGACAGCACTAAGGTGTCCAGATGATGCTGAAATTCAGCTTACCTGAATTAACCTGTCATATCCTGGAAAAGCTTCTCTCTCTGTTCTTCACATTTTTTTCATTTATATAATGAAGGAGAATTAAAATTTACCAAACAAATTGGCTATGCAGAAATGTGWATATTTTAAATGTGTGGGGTAGAAGCTGGTGGAAAAGTTAGGTCTTGAATCTCGTTTGAGTATCCACAGTTATAACTGCATAGTGAGTTTAACTCTGCTGTCAGAGGCACAGGAGTTGGGAGGGGGAAACTTGCTGAGCCCTGAGATAGGGGAAAAGAACAGCCCTTGCTGAATCCCTATAATAAAAAGTAAGGCACAATTTAAAAAGATGAAAGGGAAGTAAATGTATGTAAAGCAGCCAGGAGAATAATAGATAAGCCTTGGCAGAGGATTAAATGAAAATTGTACACAGTCTAGTGTTTAAAATGAAAGGATTTATCAAGACTTAAGTTTAGCACAGACTAGCAGCAGGTAGAGTTTAAAAATAAAAAGTTTGTGTGATGTGAAGAAATGCTGTATGTGCTGTATGTCCAAAGAGCACGTTGACTTTTATTGCAGGATAAAAATGTATCAAAGAACAAKAAAGGAAAAGATAACTATTCCATACTAGCTTTGAGAAACATYGGGTATATTGAAACAAATCCTTTGCAGACAGAGGTGAGATATCAACCTTTTCTTTTAGGTTGCTTTCYTTTTTGACTTACGAGTCCAATGAAAATGCCAGGGCATATGTGAGGACCTTTTATGAAGATCTACATAGTTTTGATATATGGACTTCTACATAGGTATAAAATACACAAAATAGCATCCTGGCATCTCTTCTTTCCTCTTTCCCCAGAAACTCTGCATATTGCAATTCTAGTGACAGATCCTGTTTGCTCAGTAGTCTTCATTTTGCAAGAGTCTGCTTGATTCCTTCCAGGGCTAGTAACTCCTATTGAGCTTTCCTCTAGTTATTCTTTTGATTGCTGAGGAGGCACCACRTTTTCATCAGAGTCACACAGTCCCCAAACAAAATGGATGAAGCTTCTCTGAAAATGATATATTTATGTAATAATAWACCATATATACCATATAGCAAAAATAGTATTATTTTTGCTGGGAGAAGAGGATGGTCAGAAAAATGTGTGAAGGCTGTGGACAGATATGTATAGCCTGGTTGTATATATATAAAATATAGAATGTATGTACGTATATGGTATGTGTAGTGTGTGTGTATAAAGTAGATAAAAATATTTACCATGTTGCAAAGGTGTTTTGTTAAACGAGTAACCAAGGCTTCTTTGCTCTTGCTCTTGTTCAAAATGCTTCTAGGAAAAATAAAGCAAAATGGCCAAATTTTAACTGACCTTTACTTTCTTTGGAGTCTACCAGATCTGCCTAGCTCAGCTGTGCTGAAAATTATAGTGGATCAGAGCAGCCTGGCAAGGGAGAGGATCTGCAGAAGCAATATAGAGGACTTCCAGGAAGCTGCACCAAACAGAGCAAGGTCGAAAGTGGTCACAGATAAAAGTGCATAAGTTTGCAAGGGATTTGTCACAGGTCCTGCTGCACTCAAATTGCTCAGTAATATATCGGTGGGCTATTTGTGGCACATAACGCTCGTCTCTGAAGTGCATAATATATCCCATATTAAGGTAAAAATGAACTGTTTCTTTGCCAAGCAGATGAGAGCAATTTAGCTCCTTGAGCTAATTTAAAATCCAAAAGTTAAAACCTCCCCTGGGAAGAGGCTGTTTAGGAATAAAGGCATTGGCTAATTAGGCTTAATTGCATTGTCTTGGGACAAGTGA